CTCTTTTATATATGTAGAGGATATGCGATTGAAAATGAGTATGACAAAAAAAAAATTTTAAAATAATAATCGTCAAACATGGGCTGAATGTTGCTCATATATTTTAGAGCTATGGTGCACGATTCGTTTAGATTTATTCTATATTTTAAGTCTAAAAATTATAGCCTGGTTTTGGGTCAATTGAGTTGTTGCTCCAGGTCATATTTGACGAGAATTTTTTTTTTTTTTAAATCCTAGAAATATATAATAATTTTGTTTTCCAAATTAGTCTGCATTTTGTGTCTGTACTAAATTGGCAATGTCTAAAACTAAACAAAATTAAGGAAGTTTTTAAATATACAATAATAGAAAAGTCTCTAAATAAAAGGGAGAGAGACATAAAGCAAGCAAAATAGTAAACATATGTTTGGGGATTGTTCATAAATGTTTAAATTAAAAATAATAAAAATGAGTAGTGTATAAGATGATCGTTCTAAAAAAGGTGTGAATATAAAACCAATTGGAATATTTATAAACAATTTATGAGTATGAGCCAAACATAAATGAATTCTTTTTTCTATTTTTGGTATAACCTATTCTGATTATAATTAATATTTCTCAAATCTCTTGTTTTGATTGAGAGATACTTTTGTGTATATCATTAAGAAATTTAACTCAATGTTTGTATATCATTAAGAAATTTATTTGTTTTTTATTGTAAATAATTTTCTTAATTCATAAAATCACTTCTTTCTAAGGTCATGTTTGAGCCAAATTATTGTAAAATGATAATAAAAAATATAGTCGTTATTGAAACTCATATAAGAGAGAGAAAATTTGAATTTAAATGTTGATGTGATGTGATGGATAATGATTATATTTTTTATTTCAATGAGATAATAATGTAGATCAAACGGGGACTAACTATATAAACTTTTCAAATAAGGTATACAAATATATATAATTACCCTTAAAATTTAAATCTCACAACTATTTAACGATCAAAACATTACATGCCAAGCATTTTTTTTTCCTTCTTTTAACATACTAACGTTTTAAATAATGACATGCGTTCTTTCAAAATTTCTTTCAAAACTCATTTTCAACCATACATTTTTCAATAAAATAATATTTTCATCACATCAATAATTTTTTCTTACTTTTAACCACATATTTGTCATCATATTACTGTTTAAAATACATTATTTTCTCAACAATATTCATCAAATACACTCATTTGTACATCAAAAGTGTAAATTACAACAAAACATGGTGCAACTTACACACTTCCATCAATTAACCTAAACTTAGAAACATGCAAGCACACAAGTTACTAGCAAGTACATGGACCTTTTTTTAATTTTCTAATTTAAAGTACATATTGGAATTGGATTTATTTCATCCTTATTAATAATCATATATGATATTATCACACCCTTTTTTTTTTGCTCACAATATTTATTTTCCATTTCCTTCACCATTTCCTTCACCATGACCTGATCCATGACCACTCCCTTCACCATAGCCACTTCCATTTCCATTCCCACCTCCACCTCCACCTCCACCTCCTCCACCACCACCACCTCCTCCTCCTCCTCTGCGACTTCTACCTGATCCCGAACCAGCACGTGATCCGGCATAGGAACCGGCAGACGAGCCTGCTTCCGAGCCTGCACCACCACCACCACCAGAACTGCTAGAACTGGAACTAGAGCTAGAACTCGAACTCGA